ACGAAGGAGTATGGCTGATTTGTCAGTGTAATTGTGATGTACGAAGGAGTATGCCTGATTTGTCAGTGTAATTGTGATGTACGAAGGAGTATGCCTGATTTTGTCAGTGTAATTGTGATGTACGAAGGAGTATGCCTGATTTTGTCAGTGTAATTGTGATGTACGAAGGAGTATGCCTGATTTTGTCAGTGTAATTGTGATGTACGAAGGAGTATGCCTTATTTTTGTCAGTGTAATTGTGATGTACGAAGGAGTATGCCTGATTTTGTCAGTGTAATTGTAATGTACGAAGGAGTATGCCTGATTTGTCAGTGTAATTGTGATGTACGAAGGAGTATGCCTGATTTGTCAGTGTAATTGTGATGTACGAAGGAGTATGCCTGATTTGTCAGTGTAATTGTGATGTACGAAGGAGTATGCCTGATTTTGTCAGTGTAATTGTGATGTACGAAGGAGTATGCCTTATTTTTGTCAGTGTAATTGTGATGTACGAAGGAGTATGCCTGATTTTGTCAGTGTAATTGTGATGTACGAAGGAGTATGCCTTATTTTTGTCAGTGTAATTGTGATGTACGAAGGAGTATGCCTGATTTTGTCAGTGTAATTGTAATGTACGAAGGAGTATGCCTTATTTTTGTCAGTGTAATTGTGATGTACGAAGGAGTATGCCTGATTTGTCAGTGTAATTGTGATGAATTGTAATGGATCAGAATTAATTTCATCGGTATGATTTTAGAGTATATTTGAAGATTACAGTATTAGTATAAGACTCCAGCCAAACCTAATTCTTCCACTGAGATACCGATAAGACAGCTATGTGTGGGTCTTATCATAACGATCCGAATGTCGAGCGGGTGGTGTTATATCAGAAACGAAACCAGGAGTCACCTGGACAAATATCATGGAGGGAAGTATTTAATGGGTTTCTGATAACGTTATTTCCATGTCGGGGATATACATACAGGTTCATAATCAGTAATCCCAGGTACTCGATGGAGTCCTGCTAATCCACGGTAACAAGGGTATGTGTGAGAAAGGCAGCTAGCAATTTTAGCTATCATAATGTTATCGTTTCTTTCGATGTTCATGTCATTTTTGTATGTCGATGGATCTGCTCGGTAACTTTTGACGTTGTATTTGACAATGTAATACCCAATATTATTGAATAATATAGAACAACCAAGGTGAAATAAAACCAATCAATATCTGACATAAGCACGGCCCTATTGGTGGCGTGTTGGTATCGACATCTGAGAACAAAATCACACGGTATATGGAACAATGCTAGAACGCAACATAATGCGTAAGATATGAGATCCGAGTAAACATGAACGTCTCATTAACTTCCTGTCACATGCAATACCAATTAAAGTCCACATATCTACCTTCGATTGAAAGTCCACATATCAACCTTCCATTAAAGTCCACATATCCACCTTCCATTAGAGTCCACATATCTACCTTCCATTATAAGTCCACATATCTACCTTCCATTAAAACATCTACATATCTACCTTCCATTATAAGTCCATATATCTACCTTCCATTAAAACGTCTACATATCTACCTTTCATTAAAGTGCATATATCTACCTTCGATTAAAATCCATATATCTACCTTCCATTAAAACGTCTACATATCTACCTTCAATTATAAGTCCACATATCTACCTTCCATTAAAACGTCTACATATCTACCTTCAATTATAAGTCTTCATATCTACCTTCCATAAAAAAATCCACATATCTACCTTCCATTAAAACGTCTACATATCTACCTTCATTTATAAGTCTACATATCTACCTTCCATTAAAGTCCACATATTTATAGTCCACATATCTACCTTCCATTAAAACGTCCACATTTCTACCTTCCATTATAAGAGAAATATGTAAGCTACGCTCATTGTCATGACAGCCATTAAATCATTCTATTTTGTTGTGCCTTATATGGTTGGAGTTGTTTCGTGCTTTTTATTTCGTCCAATGGTTTCGTTGTCACTGACCTGTTAAAATTTTGAAATTTACATATTGGGTGTTATCCATGAAACAGGAGGTGCAGCTACTAGGGCTGTTATCCTGTGTCATTCACGAAGTGATTTCAAGTGCCCTTACATCAGCTGTGAAGCGTTCCGGACATTTTCTGGACACGGATCCAGTAATCACTCCCTGTGACGTCATCAGAGATGACAATCGACTAGTATGGAAGCTTGAAATCAGATTACGTTGACTAATTATATATCTGGTTCACGATAGTCTTCTGTACTGTTTACAACCAGCTTTCTGTAGATATCTCAGTATGTCATACCTCTGATGTTCAAGATATACGAGGACGACTAAGGATTTCATTAATGGCAAGTCATTTTCCGAATCGATCAAAGCAGGAGTCAGTTTAATATTTATGCCTGACGTTGCATACTAAGTATACTTCACTATAGATGCAGTGACACCTCGAACAAACGTTTCTGCGGCATATAATTTGTCTGTAGTGATGTTGAATATAAGACTCTTTCATTCCACTCGAGAGGTAAAAAATGTACCACCTGGGGTTATGTGACGTGACAGACACTGGGTGTACCGCCTTTCGTGATGTGACTTGACAGACACGTGGTTTACCACCGGCATGGTGACTAGTCAAACACAGGGTGTACCACCTGACATTGTGAGACTTGACAGGCATTGAGTATACCGCGTGACGTGATGTGACGTGACAAACACTGGGTATGCTGCATGGCGTGATGTGACGGGACAGGCACTGGGTGTACCGCGTGGCGTGATGTGACGGGACAGACACTAGTTGTACCACGTGACGTGATGTGACCCGATAGTGGCCATACTCGTACCGCGTGGCGTGATGTGACGTGTAGGCACGGAATGTACCTCCTGGCGTGATGTGACCTGATAGTGACCATACTCGTACCGCGTGGCGTGATGTGACGTGACAGACACTGGGTGTACTACCTGGCGTGATGTGACGTGACAAACACTGGGTGTACCGCGTGACGTGATGTGACGTGACAGACACTGGGTGTACTACCTGGCGTGATGTGACGTGACAAACACTGGGTGTACCGCGTGACGTGATGTGACGTGACAGACACTAGTTGTACCACGTGACGTGATGTGACGTGACGGACACTGAGTGTACCTTCTGGCGTGATGTGACCTGATAGTGACCATATTCGTACTAAATCCCTTGTTCTTTAACTTGGGCCTTCCTCTTACTCCTGCCTCTGCCTTGACGTATCCACCCAGGATCAGTACGCCTATCTAGAGTTTCGAGGTCTGTGGTTCGAATCCGAGTGTGGTCGATGAATACGCTTGTTTGAAGAGTTATTCCCTTGTACGTTATTTATGGCGATTTCTTTCATGTGGTTTCTTTTCAAACATAACCACTCTGTTGGATTTAGTTTCAAGTGAGGAATAAAATAAAAGCACACAGGTCGATAAAAGTTATCGATCTACATGTGTCAGGAACATGTTTTGTCTCACTCAACAAGCTTTTCACGACACCTTTTCAAATGCATAACTCATGACTAGTTGAATCACTCATTATCTGTGGACTTGGTTTTGTAAATGAAGTTGAGATGTCTGTTTTCTTTCTGCAATATTCTGTGACAGCATCTCATCTGATATTTAACAAAAAGCACACATCTTCATGGCACTAACAATCATTTTACGTTTATAGACCTAGTGGTCATACAACCATCAAAGACTGGCAGCCGTAGCACGTGCGCATATAATCTGGTGACGATATCACGTGCAAAACAGTAGTAACCATATCACGTGCTAAATGGTAGTAACTATATCACGTGCAAAATAGTAGTAACTATATCACGTGCAAAACAGTAGTAACCATATCACGTGCTAAATAGTAGTAACTATATCACGTGCTAAAGTAGTAATATTCATAGAAAAGTGTAACATAGAATGACTTCAATACTTCGGTAGATAGTCTAACTTCTCTTCTGATGAACATATTATTGTTAATTCATCTTTGAAATCTCCAATGAAATATAACACAATCTGAATACGTCTGAGATTAATAGCCCACCACGGTCGATTTCACGCTATGAAACGTTATATTTCACACCTATTTTAATGAGAGCTAACATGGTTTCGTGACACGCAGTGAAATCAACAGTAGTATTCATGTTTCAGTTGACAGAAATATAACTACTTATACATTTAGGAAATCAGATTTCGTGTAATCGCGATGCTGATCAAACCTGATATACGTTTGTGTGACAATGTGATTGCAGGGCACGCCACTGTTTATAAGATTAACACACTTATTTATCGTCAGATATAGTTACAGCACGAACATCCACCACGAGCACAGTTCATTGTAGAACTATAAGACATCGCTCAGCGATTACGACAAACTGTATGCATAGAAAACAAACATTATAAAGAGCCAAATATACAAACAAATTTTATCTTTTATTTGTAAAACAAAGAGTGAACTATATATACCTGTGATTACACCTGAGCGTACAAAGCCTTTTACATGATATAGATTTTCCTTCCAATTGTCCCTCACCTGGGATCGTTACCTGACCAATGCGGCCCGTCGTGATTAGACGGTAATGTAACGGCACCCCGTGTTTAACGGTAAAGCTAAATGGGTATGAATTACGGGTACATACCAATTTTATGTGTATGTGTGTACCTACGGTGTATATAGAGGGCCAAGCTTTTGTATTTAAGTCTTTTATGGCTGATCTGTTTTGAATAGCGCGTTAACAAAAAGACACGGGAAATAATACCGACTTATCGATACATGCGCAAATTAATGACAAGTGTGTGTGCCGGGGTAACCGGGCAGCGTTGCTAAGGACTACTCGGTGTTTGAGCCTTACGGACTATCCCGTGGTTCCTATACAAGTCCTATGGTGGCCTATGAGGTCTTGTTAGCAAACATTGGAGGAAACCCTATTTCATACACAGGATATTTACAGAAATTTAATTAATTATACGGGTGGTGTTAAAGACGGCAACATGTCACAAGTGATACCTCGCCCGTCCTTTTCGGGTCCGGGGCAAAAAGTCGGTGTTAGCTTACCACAGATTGAACACCCACTTTCCAGGATGGAGAACCCGGAAAATTTAGGAGTACGGGGAGTTTCTAGGGCCGGGGACAGACCCGGGTCCCATCCAAATTTTGGAATGTCTAGTCGCCCTCTAGCCAACGAAAATACGTATCCCACGAGGAAGAGTGTTAGTGCCTTAGGGAGGGAGAGCAGAAGAGGGTCAAGGATGGCCATGTCATATCCCAACTACAACGCCACTGCCATCCCCGAGGGAGTGGAGGTCACCTACGGGGACCCAAACAAGACCAGACTCCCGGTTTTTGGTAAGAACACGATTTCTTAAAAACAGAGTTTTTAAAAATGTTTTTTGTCACAGTGTCAGTGGTATCTACAGGACAGAATATCTATAACAATAAAGAAACTGTGATAATAATTATCTTATATAACGATATTGACAGCTGGGTTTACAGGAATATCTCTATCGCTCAATTAAAACTAGGTAATGTCAATTATAACAACTCAACCCGTCTGTATGTTCAACAAAATCTATGTGCGATTATACAGACAATCCATTCTATATGTACAATCCATGTTATACAGACAATCCATTCTATATGTACAATCCATTTTATACAGAAAATCCATTCTATATGTACAATCCATTTGATACAGACAATCTATTCTATATGTACAATTAATTTTATACAGACAATCTATTCTATATGTACAATCCATTTTATACAGACAATCTATTCTATATGTACAATCCATTTTATACAGACAATCCGTTCTATATGTACAATTCATGTTATACAGACAATCCATTCTATATGTACAATCCATGTTATACAGACAATCTATTCTATATGTACAATCCATTTTATACAGACAATCTATTCTATATGTACAATCCATTTTATACAGACAATCCGTTCTATATGTACAATTCATGTTATACAGACAATCCATTCTATATGTACAATCCATGTTATACAGACAATCCGTTCTATATGTACAATCCATGTTATACAGACAATCTATTCTATATGTACAATTAATTTTATACAGACAATCTATTCTATATGTACAATTCATGTTATACAGACAATCTATTCTATATGTACAATCCATTTTATACAGACAATCCGTTCTATATGTACAATCCATGTTATACAGACAATCCGTTCTATATATACAATCCATTTTATACAGACAATCTATTCTATATGTACAATTCATGTTATACAGACAATCTATTCTATATGTACAATCCATTTTATACAGACAATCCGTTCTATATGTACAATCCATGTTATACAGACAATCCGTTCTATATATACAATCCATTTTATACAGACAATCTATTCTATATGTACAATCCATGTTATACAGACAATCCGTTCTATATGTACAATTCATGTTATACAGACAATATATTCTATATGTACAATTAATTTTATACAGACAATCTATTCTATATGTACAATCCATTTTATACAGACAATCCGTTCTATATGTACAATCCATGTTATACAGACAATCTATTCTATATGTACAATTAATTTTATACAGACAATCTATTCTATATGTACAATTCATGTTATACAGACAATCTATTCTATATGTACAATCCATTTTATACAGACAATCCGTTCTATATGTACAATCCATGTTATACAGACAATCCGTTCTATATATACAATCCATTTTATACAGACAATCTATTCTATATGTACAATTCATGTTATACAGACAATCCGTTCTATATGTACAATTCATGTTATACAGACAATATATTCTATATGTACAATTAATTTTATACAGACAATCTATTCTATATGTACAATCCATTTTATACAGACAATCCGTTCTATATGTACAATTCATGTTATACAGACAATCTATTCTATATGTACAATTAATTTACTTTACAGTTTTCCACATGTACTTACATTTATATCTATGAAATTCTCGCTATGAGTACCAAGTGTTTGGGTGTAACATCCATTTTATACCATTGCCCAAAATAACAACTCAGGCTCAAGCATCGGACTTCACAACCTCAGATGAAGATCCTATGTGTGTAGATCGAACGGGGGAGAGGGGGCGGGGCGTGGGTATTTTGTTCGATCCCCTCCGGGAGAGGGACATTAGGGAGCTGTGACAAGGCCGTCCAGCGCTGTTGTGATTGTGTTTATTCATGGATAGTATGCGATGGACCTCCCCCATGGTGTTCTCTAGGGTAGCCACCAAATACTACAGTCCCTGCCTCAAAATGACTTTGCTGTTCACAATCACGTGTAATAAACCCAATAAAGAGATATCTATATTATCGTCTATGTGTAGACAGACCATCCTCTCAGGCGCATTGTGATGAAATAAACAATCATGTATGACGTTACCGCCGAAAATGGAATCATCATGCAGAAGTTAGTTATTAAACTTGATCGCACTTGTCACAGAAGTAAGTGTATTAATCTCGAACCACTGTCATAGAAGTAAGTTGATGTACAAATGTAGGACCCCTTGTGTCATAGAAGTCAGTTATTAAACTTGCACACTTGTCATAGAAGTTAGTGTATTAATCTCGAACCACTGTCATAGAAGTAAGTTAATGTACAAATGTAGGACCCCTTGTGTCATAGAAGTCAGTTATTAAACTTGCACACTTGTCATAGAAGTTAGTGTATTAATCTCGGACCCCTTGTGTCATAGAAGTAAGTCGTGTATTAATCTCGGACCCTTGTCATAAAAGTACGTCTGTGTAATAATTTCGAACCCACTGTAAACCAACGTCTCTTTTCCAGATATGATTTGTGGTCTAAGAGATTTTATTATGTACTTTTCACACCGCGAAATAAATTGCACCACAATCAAATCTGACCTGCAGCTATTGAAACCAATAAAACGGAGTTTTATTTACCCATGGATTTCACTAGTCTATCAAATGATTCATAGTCCTTCAGTGGTGATACCGTTACCAAGTGCTGGCCGAGGTAATCCCAGAGAGAGTAAGATAGGGCTAGCCTACCAGTGGGGTGGTCTTATAGAAACACTTGTAATAAATCCTTCCGGTTAGAGAGACTTGTATTTGTGTCGTTTAATGTCAAGCTTGGCATATTGTAGGCTTTTCTTACCGGTGTCAAATACAAACATTTCCGATAAGTACACACAAGACCAGTCCAATATTTAGTCATGAGAAAAATATCAATGCTACAGTCAAATATTTGTCCTGATTACCAGTTTACTTTCGCTGAACGGTCAATACCGAGTGCTTTAACTATCCCTAGTAAGCTTGCAGTATATACATATTAAACAGAACTGTCGTAGGAAACAGTAGAATTCTTTGGTGGACAATGATATACATAATTATGTAGTTGTACTAAGTAATGTTTATTTTTAATAATAAATGAAACGGACGAAACACTCCCACAGATTTTCCAATAAATAGTGTTATCATAGTTAAACTGTTTATACCGTCAATTTAATTAAAGAATTCTACAATAAGATTTCATTTGAGATAATCGAACAAGGATACGCTACATAGATTAACACAGGAAGATCATCTGATTTACCACCTGACGTTACTAGACTGGAAACCGTATGTACAGTGACGAGGTAAAACGTTTATATCACAATAAATAAACCGTTGTAAGACGTGGGATTTCTAGTCCAACATCTAGGTCTGGTTATCTGGTGTGCTGATTACCCATATAGACCCTCCTTGTTGGAACATGTATGTATTTGCAATAGAATTAAGATATGCCAATTCAAAATTATTTTCCTTTGTGGGAGTATATGTCGTGAGTATTTACATATTGCTGATACTCAGTTGTACAGAATTATATATATATTCAGTGTACCTAGGGAATTACCTGTCAATTTTATCAGTTTTTTTCCTAAATGGTATTTAATTCGGTCGCATGTCTTCTATGTGTAGACGATCTCGCCTGTATAATTAAATCCTAGCGAAACGTTCACGCCCACTAATTCATATACATTATATATACCTACACAACATTCAAAGACATATAAACCTACAGTCGTTAACTGGGGCCCTTGAGAAGAAATCTTACATTAGAATTAGCAAAAAAATATATTGGCCCTGAAATAAAGAATGGAGACTATATATGTTTGGCCCTAGGTCGAACCGAAGGTCAAGACAATGTCTTAAAATATAAAACGACCTATTTGTTCACCCCATTCCAGTAGACCAGGTCTGGAAATAAACATTATCTCCCCGAACTGTCCACCCCATTTCAGTAAACAAGGTTTGAAAATATACATCATCTCCCCTGACTTTTCACCCCTTTTCAGTAAACAAGGTCTGGAAACATACATCATCTCCCCTGACTATTCACCCCAATCCAGTAGACCAGGTCCGGCAATAAACATTATCTCCCCTAACTGTTCACTCCATTCCAGTAAACAAAGTCTGGCAATAAACATTAACTCCCCTGACTGTCCACTCCATTCCAGTAGACAAGGTCTGGCAATATACATCATCTCCCCTGACTTTTCACCCCATTTCAATAAACAAGGTCTGGAAATATACATTATCTCCCCTGACCATTCACCCCATTTCAATAAACAAGGTCTGGAAAAATACATCATCTCCCCTGACTTTTCACCCCATTTCAATAAACAATGTCTGGAAATATACATTATCTCCCCTGACTATTCACCCCATTTCAATAAACAAGGTCTGGAAATATACATCATCTCCCCTGACTTTTCACCCCATTTCAATAAACAAGGTCTGGAAATATGCATTATCTCCCATGACTATTCACCCCACTCCAGTAGACAAGGTCCGGCACTATCATACGACCTCTTTGACAGTTAACCTCACTGGAGTAAACAAGATCTATTACCGAAAGTTCATTCTTTCCACCGTCTAAATGGATAGGATGTATGACGGTCAAACGTACTGAGAGGTCTGTAATCCTATACAGAGAGGTAAATACTTTTTGTAAGAAAACACTTGTTTCTTTGGAATACTTGTCCCAATATATTGACATAAAAAATGTAGTAAGTACGAAGTTTAAATTCTTTAAAAGTAAAATAAATATATTGGTACGCAGATCGGTTTCGTGTAGAGCCTCATGTTTAATACATACATTAAAATTCATTCAAAAACCACTTTAAAATCGTGCGATAGAAATGAGTTACACAGCGTCAGTCAATATATAATTAGCTGGAGCGTTCACACTGGGAAGTCAATAGTGAGAGAGCTAGGTACCCACAGATCGTGTCAGGACCGGCTTCTATACACAGTGTGTCACAATGGAACATTAATTGAATTTGGACTGAAATTGAAATTGAAATGTTTCAAATTGATAATTTTATTGTGTTACATGTTATAGGTATGTCCCACTAATGACAGCATAAAAGCAGATTTTGCACTATTCTTGAAACGAATTAAAGTCGTATGTAAGACAGATATCTTACTGTGGTTTAAAAAAGATTATAACGATTGTGATGATGTAAACTTTCTCACTCGGTGATTAGGTACGTTTCCCTATCCAGTGTCGATGAAAATTTCTTTGTCCTGTGATTTTGCGGATCTACACTTCCCTCTCCTATAATGATATACACTTCCCTCTCCTGTGACGATCTACACTTCCCTCTCCTGTGACGATGTACACTTCCCTCTCCTGTGACGATGTACATTTCCTTCTGTGACGATCTACACTTCCCTCTCCTATAATGATATACACTTCCCTCTCCTGTGACGATGTACATTTCCTTCTGTGACGATGTACACTTCCCTCTCCTGTGACGATGTACATTTCCTTCTGTGACGATCTACACTTCCTTCTGTTACGATGTACACTTCCCTCTCCTGTGAGGATGTACACTTCCCTCTCCTGTGACGATGTACACTTCCCTCTCCTGTGACGATGTACATTTCCTTCTGTGACGATCTACACTTTCCTCTCCTGTGACGATGTACACTTTCCTCTCCTGTGACGATGTACATTTCCTTCTGTGACGATCTACACTTCCCTCTCCTGTGACGATGTACACTTCCCTCTCCTGTGACGATGTACATTTCCTTCTGTGACGATGTACACTTCCCTCTCCTATAATGATATAAACTTCCCTCTCTTGTGACGATGTACATTTCCTTCTGTGACGATCTACACTTCCCTCTCCTGTGACGATGTACACTTCCCTCTCCTGTGACGATGTACACTTCCCTCTCCTGTGACGATGTACATTTCCTTCTGTGACGATCTACACTTTCCTCTCCTGTGACGATCTACACTTCCCTCTCCTGTGACGATGTACACTTCCCTCTCCTGTGACGATGTACATTTCCTTCTGTGACGATCTACACTTTCCTCTCCTGTGACGATCTACACTTCCCTCTCCTGTGACGATGTACACTTCCCTCTTCTGTGACGATGTACATTTCCTTCTGTGACGATCTACACTTCCTTCTGTGACGATGTACATTTCCTTCTGTGACGATGTACACTTCCCTCCCCTGTGACGATCTACACTTCCTTCTGTGACGATGTACATTTCACTCTCCTGTGACGATCTACACTTCCTTCTTCTGTGACGATGTACATTTCCTGTTCCCGTGATGATGTACATTTCCCCATTTCCTGTTCCCGTGATGATGTACATTTCCTGTTCCCGTGATGATGTACATTTCCTGTTCCCGTGATGATGTACATTTCCCCATTTCCTGTTCCCGTGATGATGTACATTTCCCCATTTCATGCCCCGTGCTGATTTGAATTACTCCGATTCCTTCTCCTGTGACGATGTATAACCTGTGATGGTATGATATCCTACCCAGTGGTGACGTTGTTCCTACGCTGTGACGGTATGATATCCTACCCAGTGGTGACGTTGTTCCTACCCTGTGGTGGTATGATATCCTAGCCAGTGGTGACGTTGTTCCTACCCTGTGATGGTATGATATCCTACCCAGTGGTGACGTTGTTCCTACACTGTGATATTATCGACTTAAACTGTACTTACATAAACAGTTCCCCTATGGAACCCTTCTTCGCACACTCTTTTGTTGACACCCATCTGGTTATGGTGGAGACATAATGCTCACAATCAATATTTTGCCATTCGGACATAACATTAAATGTCATTCTGGTTTTCCATTAATGTCATACAGGATCAAAAACCCTGTCTGTTTGCTGTGACTGATCTGTTTGTAATGTAGCCTGGATACATTATTACACAATTTCTGGTTGGGATGTCTTAAATGTTCAAATACAAGCTTTTCAGATGCATGCACAAACATAAACGTTAAAATTGTGGTGTTTAGACTGCTGAATTCCACATGTCTGTATAGCATTTACTATAATATCAGTGTACAACTTCACACCAATACGTCCAGATTAAATAAAGGTGTTCTTAAAGGATTGATTTAAAATACACTCTTTACGTAAGCATAAGTGAGTGCTGTCCTGATGTCAACATTATAGTGCTATCTCACTGTATTATATACTGATGGAAGCACCAAGCAGGACACCACACCAGGTCACAGTATACTAACGTCGGACAAAGCGTTCGGTACACTACCATACCCCGAGATTCTAGTATATTTCAATTTCGATCTGAAACGACATATCAGTTATCAAAAATGGCCCTACGGAGTGATGTGTATTATAACAACGTTAACCTAATGAACTTATGAAATCACCTAACCAGGATTACCCCCAATATATTGTAGTAAACACATGTGTAAAGCCGGATTAGCCCAGTACACTGGATAATGAACACATAGACTTTGTGAGAAGTTAGCCAGATCGTAGAATAACCCACCCCTGGTGGTACCTGAGCCCAATCACTCGTGTGAAGTTGGATTACTGGAATTACGAACGATAATCACCATAAACACACGACCTTACCGATATTGTTTTCTAATCGACTTTTTATTAATGTTATTCATGTCAGAACGTTGAGATTTAATTAGATTCTTCTTGGGCATTCAATATACAATAGAACTGGTCTGTGGGCTGCGTATGTTTAGTCTTTAAGTAATGGAACCAGAAAATTCAGAACAAATGTAATAAACTGTCTGTGTGCACCAATAATTTGAATAAGTTTTTATACAGTTTACTTAATGGACGTTCTATATAAGAAATTACTCCATGCCTAACTAACCAATCAAAATCGTTATAACAAGCATCTGTCATTGGATGACAATTAACCAATAGAAACTTTTGATACAATTATAATAATATTTTCATATAAAATGATAGACACAGAAGTAAACTTAACGTTGATAGGATCTCTAATAGACAATCGTGTTGTTTGATTACAGGAAGCCGAGCCGACGTAGTGATGAGCAGAATGGGCGCGGAAAGCCGCGTGTCCTCCCGACTTTCGAACGCATCCACACGTGCCAGACTGGAAGTAGACGAGGTCAGTACATGCTTTGTCATTCGTAGAAGGCAAATAAAGAGGCACCGTATGTAACGAAAACTTTCTGAGCGATATATCGTCGTATGTCGCCAGGAGGCGATGACAATGTTGAATTCTGAAGAGTAATGAACCACAGATTAGATGAACGAATTATATACATGTACAATGATCGTCAACTACAAGGTTTCCTGCTAAAATAGAAACATACATCGTATGTATACCAGTGTTGCACGATACATTTATCACGTGGTACACAGCTCATCTATTGTCTAATATTACATGTTTTGATTTCGCAGATAGAGGCAAAACTTAGACAGAAGATGAAAGGAAGTTTCTATGAAGTAAAGAAACGATTCAAAGACATGGATCCGGAACAAAAAGGAAATGTATCAAGGTAAGATATCACAGTAGATCCAATCTCATTGTAACGCGGGACAACCGACAAGCTTGTGTGCATACAAACAGGACAGGTCTCTTCCAGCGGACTGGTCCAGTATCAGCTTGTGTGTGTACAAATAGGACAGGTCTCTTCCAGCAGACTGGTCCAGTATATACTCGTGTGCGTACAAATAGGACAGGTCTCTTCCAGCAGACTGGTCCAGTATATACTCATGTGCTTACAAATAGGACAGGTCTCTTCCTGCAGACTGCTCCAGTATCAACTTGTGTGCGTACAAACAGGACAGGTCTCTTCCTGCAGACTAGTCCAGTATCAACTTGTGCGTGTACAAATAGGACAGGTCTCTTCCAGCAGACTGGTCCAGAATATACTCATGTGCTTACAAATAGGACAGGTCTCTTCCAGCTGACTGGTCCAGTATATACTCGTGTGCGTACAAATAGGACAGGTCTCTTCCTGCAGACTGGCCCAGTATCAACTTGTGTGCGTACAAATAGGACAGGTCTCTTCCTGCAGACTGGTCCAGTATCAGCTTGTGTGCGTACAAATAGGTCAGGCCTCTTCCAGCAGACTGGTCCAGTATATACTCGTGTGCGTACAAATAGGACAGGTCTCTTCCTGCAGACTGGCCCAGTATCAACTTGTGTGCGTACAAATAGGTCAGGCCTCTTCCAGCAGACTGGTCCAGTATATACTCATGTGCTTACAAATAGGACAGGTCTCTTCCAGCTGACTGGTCCAGTATATACTCGTGTGCTTACAAATAGGACAGGTCTCTTCCTGCAGACTGGTCCAGTATCAGTTTGTGTGCTTACAAATAGGACAGGTCTCTTCAAGCAGACTGGTCCAGTATATACTCGTGTGCGTACAAATAGGTCAGGCCTCTTCCAGCAGACTGGTCCAGTATATACTCGTGTGCGTACAAATAGGACAGGTCTCTTCCTGCAGACTGGCCCAGTATCAACTTGTGTGCGTACAAATAGGACAGGTCTCTTCCTGCAGACTGGTCCAGTATCAGCTTGTGTGTGTACAAATAGGACAGGTCTCTTCCAGCAGACTGGTCCAGTATCAACTTGTGTGGGTACAAATAGGACAGGTCTCTTCCAGCAATGCCATTGACATTATCTTTTGTGTCATTCCTGATTTCTCACAAGTTAACATCTTCTCTAACCATTCAGTACTATCCTTGTTATCCATCACTCCCATCATCATCATCATCATCATCATCATCATCATCATCATCATCATCATCATCATCACTACCATCATTATCACACTCTCGTCATCACAACCTTTAACCCCCTTCTCACTGTTATTGTCCTATGTACTAGTCCTAATTGATAATTTTACTTATCTACTTATAGGGAGGCCCTTCACCGAATTCTGGTGACCATCCTAGCCACGGAGATGGGACAATCTGTTTTTAACCGACTGATGGATCGGTTCGGATTCTCTGATCGACAGGTGGTGAATTATACAGAGTTGTTCGCCCATTTCCGTGAGATGCCTGATGATTATCCTCAGTGGATGGACCCGGTCCAGAGGAACTACGCCTCAGACAAAGCCTCCATGACCTCTAACGAGGTGCACGCGCAGCTCAGGGAAAAGGCCAAACAAAGGTGAGTCCAAATGTTACCATAGCCAGACTCATCCTCTCGTGTTACTAATGTAATCACACCCAGACAGGGAAGACTGAGTATCCTCCTGTGTTACTAATGTAATCACACCCAGACAGGGAAGACTGAGTATCCTCCTGTGTTACTAATGTAATCACAGTCAGACAGGGAAGCCCGGGTATCCTCCCGTGTGACGGGATACACCAACTGAAGTAATATTGTGTTTGATGTATCATATTCTGTTACAGGTTCCTTGACATCGCTGACCTTATCCCACAGATCAACCCTGGTGGTTCCGGCCGTATCCTTAAATCAGAATTCAAACAAATGTGTAACAAACTGATGTTCTATATGGAGGATTCCGAATTCGAAAAATTATGGAAAAAGTAAGTACTTTTGGACTTTTAGATATCTTTAGTATGTGGTTTTATTTCTACGTATTGTTATATTTGTCAAAGCATTAAATATATCATAATGAGGATAAGACTTGCTAATACGTGTGATGATGAGTGTCAGTACTGTACAGTTCTACTGACAGTATTGAATAACAAGATAGAAACCCCTTTCACTAGTTACAGAAATTCATTACTATTTCCATGCCAGTATCTGTAATATAAAATTGTATCTGTGTCAGGTATGACCCTAAAAACATGGGAACCATTGGAGCAGAACGGCTTCTGAACAGCCTAGGTATCACCTTCCGAAGCGGAACTCCCAACAAAGCTCGGCCCGTGCTGTCCCCAATACCCGAACCTGCAGGTACGAGTTTCACAGTTATTTTTAACATGCACGTGAAAAATGTTTCAAATTCAAACATCGTTCTTCCGTCTTCGACTTCCAAACGCATCTATGGTATCAATGAAAGGATAATTGGTATTGTTTGTTTTGTTAAATGCGGAAATAAAGTAAAGCTGTGACACCTAATACTTGTGTGAATGTTTACAGGACTTGTTACACAGACATGTTGTAAAGCCTGACCTATATTGTACAGGTTTTTACTTCGTGTTCAATGTTGATGTTTTTTTTGTGAAATAGCCATTAACAGTACTAAGCTTTGACGCTTTGTGTGGAATGAAATATTAAGTTTGTATTCATCATTTCTCAAAAACATCCAGAACGCAAAAAAAGTAAAAAGAAAAAAAACAAAAAGGATAAAATCGAGGACATTCCGGAGCTAGAGGAGTATGGTGGTGAGTTATATAGAACCTGTCCAATCCGACACCTCTACCTACTGACACTGCAGACTTAACCACTCACACACCCGTTTTCTCCAGTTAACAAGTTATGATGTGATTATCACGAATAAAATGAGATACATTCTGTTAGAAGTTTTGTCAAAAATCCTTCCCTGGATGTTACATCTAAATATTATTCTGATCGCTACAAAATGTTGTAAACTACTTTCTTTAGAGATTGGACGTATATTCGGCGTGCTAGAAGGGTAACGTTGTGACGGCTTTTGAAATGAGGAATTATATAAGACAAAAAGTCCAGCTCAGAATGGATAGTTCCCCTGTCTAGGATACCCTTCTCCCTTTCCTGAATTGTCCTACCTAACCAAGAAAGCGGATTCAGTCCCTGCCATATCCAAAATACTTCCCTCCTTACCCTTTAGTCTTCTACCTAGCCCCTAATACAGAATTAGTCACCCCAATACTCCAACCCTACCCAATATTTCTATCCCACATTGTATATCTCCCAAATCCACCATTCTTCCTATATTGTTTCCTTTCTATTCTCTCATCCCAGTCCCTATGCCCAGATAGCCCCAGCCTCCCCCCTCCCCCATTTCCCATCTTCCTATTTGATTTCCCCTCCTTAGCCAGCGAATCAGCCCTCACCGCCGTACCCCAAGTCAACGAAAACTCCTTTCCCTACCACATTTCGCCTACTTGAAAGCAAATCAATTCTTCCCTCCCTATGTCCTGGAACAATCCTCTATCCGTCCTATATTCATCTTCCCACCAAGTGAATCAGTCCCCCCCATGTGAGGAACAGGTCAATTTCCCTCCCTTATCCAGTATACATATCACACTCTTTGTGGTCCATTCAAACCATTCTTTATGCCCATAATGATATTAAATTGTGTTCTTACACAACACCTAATATTTGACACGTTTTCCAAATTCAAAGTCACAGCCAATGAAAAACCATAGAAATAGCAGGCATTACCTGCATCTTGTTACTACGTTGACTTGATAACACATCCAGTTGTTTCATGTTGACTCTCCGTCACTGTCAGATCTATTTGATGGACGTCACTGGTTGTGTTATATAAAGATGTAGACGTGGAGTTTTTCCTTGGCTGTAATCAGTGTGTGTTTGTCCCAGTGTGACTGTAGGCTGAGACTCGGGGTGGACAGGTGTCGATACGTGTGCCCAGTAGACATTTGACGGAAACTGTTTACTGGTGTGCCTTTCTTATATATTCAGGTGTGATGGGTTTTGTTTTTTTTTTTATTTTGTTATATAATCAGTCTTCTCTAACTGAATTCTCTATCTTATCTGCGTCATTTTTATCTTAAGGACATCCTCTCTTCCGAGAAGTCATCCCAAATCTTTCATATTCCCACTCGGAAATTTAACATAAAATGACTACTTTATAACATCCTTTTTATGTGAACTATAGGAGATATTTATAGAATGGAACATAGTGTAATTACATGACCTTCCTTACCGTATGGTTAACACTGCTCTGTCCAGGTCTACCTGTACAGGATCATATCTAGTGTTGTACATGGAAATTTGTAGGCGTTAATTTTTACCTTTTAATGTTAAAATCCAAATTATCCACTGTCAAAATAAATCTTTATTTCATTTAAATGTGTTTCACTTCTCTTTCATAGTGACGTATTTGTTGTGTAACATTTTTCTTCTGTGAATCAAAGAGTAAATTACATTTCTTTACATTTCTTATTTTCTGCTTTTCATACCTCATCAGATCTTTTATCTTTCTGATCAATTTGGTTTCAGTTATGTGGTATTATTTGTGCTATATTTGTTTTATTCAAATGATAGTTTTTAGAAGAATTTATAAGCATGCATGATGACTGAACAAGTAATCCATGGAAGAATTATTTTTTCAATTTATCATTTTTCTTTTCCACTTATCATTTTTCAGACACGTTTGAATCAAAATATTATACGCATAATCAATATTTCACGAATCTAATGAACCCTACCAATGTACTAACACCTCGGTACCTTATGAAAAATAATGCTAATCTTTGTTTATAAATATTCTGTGATTTATTTAAGAAATGAATTGAAAGTGATGTGAACTTTGACAAAAAGGCCATTCCTGTTTACTTCTAACACACTATTAACGTCAACATGGCGTGTAAATTCTGTGCACTATTCTCGATTTCATGAAATATTTCGAAAGCACCACAATCAAAAGAGAGAAAAAAATCTCACTACACGTTGATAAATGATAGAAAGTGAAATGTTGCTGATGCTGCTCCCGCTTAATCACCAAGTTTATGTTGCTAGGCTCCAACTCGAACCGCTCACCACGACGGAAGGAGATAGAGAGGAAACAGTCCTTGGATGTGGAGAGATGGATGAAGAATAAGTTCAGGGAGGGTTGCCACAACATGGTAGAAGCGTTTGAAGCTAAGGACGAGAAAAACTCTGGAGTTGTAAGTAACGTAGTGTAAACATTGTCAAGTTAAACGTCAAAAAGATAGTTATATATAAATCTTTATGTGAACAGATTTCTGGTAAATCTGAATTCTTTACAATCACTTTTTTATGACCATTTTTCTCTCCTTGCCAACCGTCTCTCCCGACAGCCCCATCTCCATGCGAATTTCTTTCGCAGACAATCCCATATCCTTCATAATCACCTTTCGTAACAATCATCTCTCGTTGACAACCTAACTCAATGCCAATGCCTATCTCCTTCAAAGTCATATCTCGTTGCATGACTACACTATTTCTATGACAGTTATCTACCATTAAAACGACCATAACCTTGACAATGAAATTCCTCTTCTATATCCTACGGTCCTTAATGCATCTGCTCTGTTGACACTTGTTTTCAGTAAATGGTTTTATAAAAATGAAATTTCTTTTTCCCCGACAGGTCCTTAATGCATCTGCTCTGTTGACACTTGTTTTCAGTAAATGGTTTTATAAAAATGAAATTTCTTTTTCCCCGACAGGTTGCCTTTGACGATTTCCTGGCTGTACTATCGACCTATGGTTTGACTTTAGAGAAGAAGCTCCTGGCAGCCTTCCTGTCTCGCTGTAGCGTCCGGGCTCGTCCAGAGGGGGTACCCTACAGGGAATTTCTCCATCGTTTCCAGGACCGTTCAGAGACGGGCATGACCCACAACATCCTTACGAACAACAAACACAGGCTAGTCAGACTGTTAGTTTTCATTGTTCCATTACAGAGTCATACACTTGTCTGCCTGATTTGGTGTGACCTATCTCCTTCTGAGTGTACACACCATTTCCTGTAGCACTCGGTGTGTAGCAACTCTGTCATCACCATGACGCCTTCCGTTCATCGCCATGGAGACGCTGTTCTTGTGGATGTGTGGTGCTGCTCATGTAGTGATCTTATAGATACATTAGTTTTATCATTGTTGTTTGATAATGATAGATACAAAATCTTCAGATCGTTTCTAAAGATATATATAAAAAGTAAAAATGCCAAGGAATATAGTAGTCTGGACGAAACAGCAATCGACGTTGCTTGGACTTTGGCAATCAGTCAGTAAATGAGGTTCTGTCTACATCTAGACGTAAACGCTCCTCTTATGTGAAATATACCATTGTATACTTATATATACAAATTCAGTAATGTCCACCAGATATATCAGATAAGATATTGTAACTGTCCCCCTTGACGCCCGAGCAAACAGGTACCTCTGTGAGTAGTACTATCTCCCCTCTACCGTCTTGGTGATGGTGATCTGTGGCCGTGTAGATCTTTCATCCTCTTTGTATGACTAGTAGTTTAGAGACTGCTGATATAAACAGGTGGTTAAATGTTCGCCTGTGTACCTGTAAATATCAAATCGGTCTCCTGTTAATTTCGTATCACCCGTTCATGGAACAGAGGGTTAGTGCTGTTGGATCCAGTGACCATACTCGGGACTAATTGGAATTGAGTGACAGGGGTACTTTGTGTAACGTTTCGTAGCGTAACGTAACGTAGTGTGAAATACTTCTGATATATTTACACTTCACTTTCATTTCTGTATTCATATACCCGGATGTTAATTTCTTCTCTATTACCAAACCTATGTGTTATAACACTAGAATTCTAATGTTTTAACTTGTCTCATGTGTCTCGTACTTACACATATACTGATGACCAGAAAATCTTATATTGACTTCAGTAGTGTGCTGTGATTTTATTAGGTTGTAGAAAACAGGTCAGCTTTTATTTTATTCATAATAAGAAACAAACAGCTGTAAAGAATACTGAAATTATGTAGAATAAAACACCGTTATTATACTCACATAGCTGTAATGTATTGACGTGTTAAAATAATATAATTATGTGCATAGGGATCATATAAAACATGCTGCTGTAGTGTAGAAATACAAAAGTCACAAAGTTATGGCATTGTAACACGTGTTTGTTGTAGGTGTACCTGTTAGAGTTATCACACTATGTTGTATAGCTGGGTTCATCATAATAATACATATAATGACATATAAACAAAACACTGTTAGGGTCTGAAAGTAAAATCAGATGAGTCTGGTTTCATACTGTGACTGAGTTGTTTGGTAATTAAACATTACAAGCTGTACTGTTGAGTTTGATCAAATATCGACAAGTGAGAAGTTTTTGTTAATGAACAATGATACCTGGTTACAGAGTGAACAAGCGACCTGACAGTCCTGGAGCTGGCTCTACCATGAGCAGCATTGAGGTGCAGTTGATGAACATGTTCCAGAGAGACTTCCTCGCATTACTTGGCTCATTCAAGTATGTATAGCCAAGCTACCAACTCGGGAGTTCCTCTTCACAACAAAATACACTAACTTATCATTTATCATGAAAAGACACTGGTTATAGGTTAAAGAAAGAAAGAACCGCCTTGGTAGATGGAAAATATAAATAAAATATTTTTTCTGATGCAATTTTTAACTCATTATTTCTACACAAGCATGTGTAAACTTTACTGTAAAATCATTGAATTTCGTGAAGCTTTTATTTTCGTTGATTTTGCAGATATTTTTAATCTACGAAAATATTTGTTCACGAAATAATAATCGGACAGCAGTTGATACGGAGTTTAGTACATTGGGATTTCGAGCAAGAGTAATTCACGAAATCAAGTGCCAAGGAAAATTCAAATTTCCATACAACCACGAAATTCTAGTCCAACGAAAATATACTGTTATACAGAAGATATTTTCCAATAAATTGTTTACGTGAAAAGACCTCTAACTGGTATTGGTATTGTAGGAGTATAGACAAACTGGGAATGAACGTGATTAGCCAGGAAGAATTCCGTGCAGCCATGGAAAGCAAATTCCAGTTCCACCTCACCGATCCCCAGTTTGAACATTTCGTAGATAAGCTCCCACTGGATGAAGATGGAAATGTCAAATATGCAGATTTCATGCAGCATTTTGACACCAAGTAAGTACCGCTTTGCTTCATTATCGATTTTAGAAATACTTCTATACCTGCACTACTGTTCTATAAGATCATATGCTTTACAAATCTGCTAAAGGTAGAACGAAATTCATTATTTCTGTTTAATAAGAAATATGTCACAAGGTCTCCTTACCGACAAAAGCAGTAATGTTAACTTGTATCTTCCCGTACCCAGGGGTCTTGCACCAAGTTTGTTTGAGAAGACTAACGCCCCAGCAGTAACGACCACGAATGGAGCCACAGCGATGGCACCCCTCGAGGAGGAAATGGAAGTGGACCCTGATCTTGAAATTGACGAGGCCTTGGATAATTTTGGCGTCAATAGACGCACTCCTCAAGAACTCTTTAATAAGATCAAAGATCTACTCAACAGAAGATTCCAAGACGTGGAAAGGGCATTCTATGCACAAGACGAAATAAATTCAAGGCGTTTATCACAAGAAACTTTCTATCAGCTTATGAGAAAGTAAGTTGGTTTGATGAATTTGCGAACATCATGTCGTTTCGAGAAACATGCCACTAAATTGTATACGCCGTCAGGGTTATTAAGAAAAAATGGAATTATTTGAAATATTGGCATAATGACATGGTAAATAGGATTGATGATGTGACACTCGATTCTGCATAATGTGTGTATATAGAGGTTATATTACGAGGGTACAGTAACAAATAATATATCATACACCGGAATTAGAGATATCATCCTCGGCAGTATACCAATTACATAGTCATACATATCAAAATTTGAATTTCAGGTTCGATATTCAACCGGAAATTTCTCGGGGAGAAATCAGAGATCTCTGGAAGACTTTCATAACTAACACGGATAAGACACTAGATTACCACCAGTTTGTCCGCCATTTCGGATTTTCCATGCGTTCAGCTGCTTTCCCCAATGCTAAAGTCAATCCTCCGCGAAAAGGTGATGCGGATTTCATGCTTAGGTCAAGAAAACTTAACTGTGCTGCTGACATGCTCCAAGACAACCTCAGGGCTAAGGTAAATTTTTAGTTAAGGGTAGCATTTCATACGTAATCCGACAGTAAGATCCCTTCCGCTCTTTGATGCGGACCAACAGTCATGATTAATATATGCAGGTAACTGTTATAATTGTTTTGCAATTATAAACTAAAGATAAAAAAGTTTGAAAGCTCAGCTATTAATGAGTCAAAGTCTTTCAATTGCTGATATATAAAGTATTGTCAGATTTAGTTTTATCATTCTACTTTTTATATCGTTAGTGAAAAAATAGATGATGCAATCGAACTAAAAAAAAACTTCCTTATCCTCGTAACGGATAAAGGCGAACCTAAGATTAGTTCACGACAGGGTAACAAACTAACTCTGAAACACGTTGAATGGAAGGAGATACACCGATAAGTAGATACATTAATCCCGTTGTTATGTTACAGGTCGACTACATGTGGGAAGACCTACGAAAGGAGTTTGTGGCGATGGACCCATACGGTACTGGTTTCGTACAAAGGGATGAATTCCGCGAGCTTCTCACAGAGCTCTGTGTCCACCTGAGTGACTACGAGGTCAACATGATATGTAACAAATTTGAGCTCAGGAAAGATGGAAGGTAAGAGATGGTTCTTGTTTGTTGTAGGGTTAGGAACGATGTCACATTTAACTCGTCCGTTTTTCTAGATACAGCTGTGTTTATGTTATTATTTGTGGAGTTATTCTAAGAACGGTATTTAACTATTCCAGGGTGAACTACATAGAGTTCTTGAAGCCGTTCGCTCTGAGAAAGCAAGTGTGGCGCCATGGCAACAACATGTTGTCACTGTTACAACACCCTCAGCCAGAACTGCCCATTACAGATATTGTGGAACCCCCACAGAAGGGACTCCATGGCATTACAGCCAAACTCAGACAAAAGGTGGGTAAATCATTTTCAAACCTGTTTCAACCGGCAATACGTTGGTATACACTGGTAAAGAGTTATTTGCCTGTTCTTATCAATACTTATTGATTGGTACGTCATTCGTTTGCGTGAAAAATTACGTCATTTTCTCGATTTTTTATGACGTAACTCTCACAAGCAAATGACGCAACAATATATACCTGTTCACAAGCGCAGATAACTCTGTATTACAGAAAGACAAATTAACCGAAATCGTAAAAGGTTGACATTTCATCTGATTTCATACTTAAATCAGAATAGTGTACATAACACTTGCAAAATAATAACTTTAGAAGAGTTTAATAATACGGAATATGCTAGAAATAAATAAACCTACATTATACAGGTGTGTTGGTCCATCAAGGTTTGTCTTTACACTGTAGTATAAAAAATACTTAATATATATATAATAGTCGATGAACACTTTATTGTAATCAATGACTGATTTTTTTCTAGTTGGCTGGAGACTGGAAGAACTTGCGTCGTGCCTTCCGAAAACTGGATAAAAGGAATGTTGGTTATCTGTCCCTACCTGAATTCCGTTCCGTACTTAAACTGGCTAATGTGATTCTGGACGAAGATGAAGTATATCATGTCATGACACAATTCGATAACAGCATGTCCGGCAAAATCCCATACGAAAAATTTATAGAGGAAACCTTCAAACCTCAGACAAGCCATAGTGTAAAAAGGTTGTGAACTGACAGCATTACTTCAACTACTATCTGACAATCTTATAAAATTCTGATGTTTCATCTCGAGTTTGCTCAAAATACCTCGTATAGAAATACATCTCTCCTGATACTAGAGGATTCTGTTTGTGTTGATTACTACTGATGAACCAGTTTTTACGTAACTACTTAGAATGAAGATTGACGAAATCTGATATCTGAGACTTTTTTTCTGAGCAATCCTGTACATCAGGAACAGAAAAACGTATGACAATTTTAATTTTGTTTTCCATCAACACGTTTGTCAAGGGAAATAAATCTGGCAGAAAAAAAATGACATCTTTGAAAAAAGTCACAGTAGAACTGTTTTCTTGGTTTCTCTGAACATGTTTCCTGTTATAAGAAAAGCTGCTGCTTGTGAACATATAGACGATGATGTTAAATATTTGTCATGTTAAGGTTTGTTATGTTTGGGTGATATCATTACGCCTTGAAGACTACTATCTCCACTTGACCTGTGAGACTGCCGGGTATAAGTGCGTCTCTATGACGATGACCTATATATATCTATTGTTTTACAATGTGATTTCACCCTTACCTATATTACATGCTATTGTTATATATTTTATTAATATTTAATGACATCATTATTTTACACCTTTATCTGTGATTCTGAATAATTCAACTTTATTGAAAAAATACAGATATATAATTAGTTTTGCACAAATTTATTATGATATTTTTTTTATTTTTACGTGGATCACTGGATCAGTAAATGGATTGTTGTAGTGAGGACGAGGAAACCAGTATTGACGACTGTGATATCTTATTTATGCTGCTGTTGTTGTCAGCATGATTACAGTGTATGTTTTCATTGTGTGTACCTTTTATTATCAGTATTACTCTCGCATAATATATCAGTAAATATTTATGTTTCATTTACCTGTGTAAAACCGTTTGGTAGAAACTACAGTGTAAAAAGGTCAAGATAAAAATAGATTTCTGATGAATTATTCGTGTAATGATAAACATTGTATATAGAACTGCCCATACTGAAGAATGGCTGTGACGCGCTTGTAATTTATTCTGTGTTATTTTACTTTCTGATTTTCATTGTCTTTCTACGCCTGCCTCTGACTGATACAGATAAAATTAACCTGAAAGAAAATGGTGATCTAGTCAAATTCTACATGTTGGAGATGTCAGCCTGTACTTCTACTAAACGGTAGTGTCTAAGCTAGGACTGTATTGGTTTGATATTAAAAAGATTCAAACAAATTCTGCATTTTAGAGATATCAGCCTATACTTCTACTAAACGGTAGTGTCTAAGCTAGGACTGTATTGGTTTGATATTAAACAGATTTAAGTTAATATAAGTAAAATGTTACTCAATACTCGACATGCACACTTCCCTAGAGAACAAGCAATAGCAAGTGCAGTTTCCCTAAGTCGAAACCATCCAACAAACGAGGTTGCTTACCCTACCACGTCACTTCTGGGACATGATAGTGCCTCACCCCTCTCTCCTTATCCATACAATAACCAATCTCGTCTGACGTTTGTGATATTTTCTATTTTGACTAACAAACTTCTGCTCTTATGTATCATGTCATTGTTCTTGAACGAAAAAAATAAAGCTACGTGTGATATTTGTTCGTTTTTTTTTTCATTTAACGTCAAATTCGGGGTTATTCGCAGTCTACGTGAAGATGGTACACATTTACTCGTAGCAATACACTTCACACACGTAAAACAATGTAAATAGACGGACACATATTTACATGAAGGATATCGTCGACAACATACAAGATATTAGCCGTTCCTGGACACCAGGTAATATTCTCGTGGTATACTTTTAATGATAATTAATTACTTGCTTATTCTACGATGCCGTTCGATCTAAAACGTTCTGCAGAGTTCATTAGTATACATCTAATAACTCATTTTTACTTTTTTTTGTGAGAGGGATACGAGATATTATTGTATATCTACATCATTTGGTATTATGAAATGTGTTTTGAGTCCATGAAGAATTTCATCACAATCATTTGTCTTTAGAGAAAATTCCATGTAGTAACGGAAGAAAAGCAGATTGGGTTCAGAAAATGTAAACGCATTTCCTTCCATCCAAATTAAAACGTTCAGCTTCGCACCATTTTAAATGGGGACTAACATGACGCGAAGTATTAAGGAACAAGGTTAAGTAGATCAATAGAAAATAAGGATTGACAAGACAGACATTCAAGCCTTCAAGTCCTTATCTACAACTAAGATTACATATCTAATTCACAATTCCTCACCTGCAGTTTATAGAAACTGTCCATATATTTCGTCTAAATATAGGTCAACCTATATAAGGTCGGGCGGGGTGTTGTGATCGGATTTTGATTCTACAGTATATCTATACAAGTTAAATTCAATCGAACTACCAGATTTAGTCTGTTTTATTTATCGATGAATTTGACCAGATTAACATTGATGTGGACGTATCAATACATCCTTTACAAATTAAGTAAGGGGAGACAACCCTTACAAATGTTTCATGCTAAAAGGAGGAGTGCCAGTTTGGGCCTTCTGGTGGCCATAACGAATACTTTTTATTTTTTTTCTATTCAAAACTTGAGGTCAGGCGGTTAATGACATGACATTAATCTAAGAACAGCTCAAGGCTGTTCAGCTGTTAAAAGGGGGGGGGGGGGGGGGGGGGGGGGGAACGAGGACGAGTGGGGATCAAAATCATAATTATTGCAATAATTATCAAACTGAAATATTTTGTTAAAGTTTTTTTTTTCATGTCATTTGATGATATATTTCAATACCTTCATTAGAAAAAATGACCAAAAATATGCCATTGTTGAAAAGTAGGTCACAGTAATTAAGTGTGAAGTAAGGCTGGACAGATATTGTTTGTCCAACTTTGCGTTACCTTTCACAGATTTCAACTGTTATTTTATTATTTTTGGATGAGAGAGCAACGGTCCGATCAACTCAGAGGCGAATTATAAGAGTTACGTCCCTTCACACAGTGAGTTTCCCAGAGTTAGATTGGGTAGTCTCAATCTTGAGTACTGAGTTGAGATATGTTTTGCCATATCTGTATATATTTGTACTCGAAGCAAATCCAGTAGACCTCGACGTGAAAGAGAAGACGATCTTACTGTAAAAATGTTGAGGATGTCAGTGCATTACCCTAGTCTCTGAACAGCAATGTCAATAGGTTAATTACAGGTAAAAAAAGAATGAGCCGAGTATATAATCTCTGACATCTCAGTGTCAGGCTGTTTCGGGTAGTACTGGTCAGTGTCAGGCTGTTTCGTTCAGTACTGGACAGTACCGGACTGTTTCGGGTAGTACTGAACACTACCAGGCTGTTCCGGGTAGTACTGGTCAGTGTCAGGCTGTTTCGTTCAGTACTGAACACTACCAGGCTGTTTCGGGTAGTACTGGTCAGTGTCAGGCTGTTTCGTTCAGTACTGAACACTACCAAGCTGTTTCGGGTAGTACTGGTCAGTGTCAGGCTGTTTCGTTCAGTACTGAACACTACCAGGCTGTTTCGGGTAGTACTGGTCAGTGTCAGGCTGTTTCGTTCAGTACTGAACACTACCAGGCTGTTCCGGGTAGTACTGGTCAGTGTCAGGCTGTTTCGTTCAGTACTGAACACTACCAGGCTGTTTCGGGTAGTACTGGTCTGTGTCAGGCTGTTTCGTTCAGTACTGAACACTACCAGGCTGTTTCGGGTAGTACTGGTCAGTGTCAGGCTGTTTCGTTCAGTACTGAACACTACCAGGCTGTTTCGGGTAGTACTGGTCAGTGTCAGGCTGTTTCGTTCAGTACTGAACACTACCAGGCTGTTTCGGGTAGTACTGGTCAGTGTCAGGCTGTTTCGTTCAGAACTGAACACTACCAGGCTGTTTCGGGTAGTACTGGTCAGTGTCAGGCTGTTTCGTTCAGTACTGAACACTACCAGGCTGTTCCGGGTAGTACTGGTCAGTGTCAGGCTGTTTCGTTCAGTACTGAACACTACCAGGCTGTTTCGGGTAGTACTGGTCAGTGTCAGGCTGTTTCGTTCAGTACTGAACACTACCAAGCTGTTTCGGGTAGTACTGGTCAGTGTCAGGCTGTTTCGTTCAGTACTGAACACTACCAGGCTGTTTCGGGTAGTACTGGTCAGTGTCAGGCTGTTTCGTTCAGTACTGAACACTACCAGGCTGTTCCGGGTAGTACTGGTCAGTGTCAGGCTGTTTCGTTCAGTACTGAACACTACCAGGCTGTTTCGGGTAGTACTGGTCTGTGTCAGGCTGTTTCGTTCAGTACTGAACACTACCAGGCTGTTTCGGGTAGTACTGGTCAGTGTCAGGCTGTTTCGTTCAGTACTGAACACTACCAGGCTGTTTCGGGTAGTACTGGTCAGTGTCAGGCTGTTTCGTTCAGTACTGAACACTACCAGGCTGTTTCGGGTAGTACTGGTCAGTGTCAGGCTGTTTCGTTCAGTACTGAACACTACCAGGCTGTTTCGGGTAGTACTGGTCAGTGTCAGGCTGTTTCGTTCAGTACTGAACACTACCAGGCTGTTCCGGGTAGTACTGGTCAGTGTCAGGCTGTTTCGTTCAGTACTGAACACTACCAGGCTGTTTCGGGTAGTACTGGTCTGTGTCAGGCTGTTTCGTTCAGTACTGAACACTACCAGGCTGTTTCGGGTAGTACTGGTCAGTGTCAGGCTGTTACGTTCAGTACTGAACAGTACCAGGCTGTTTCGGGTAGTACTGGTCAGTGTCAGGCTGTTACGTTCACTACTGAACAGTACCAGGCTGTTTCGGGCAGTACTGGACAGTACCGGACTGTTTCGTTCAGTACTGGACAGTACCTGGCTGTTTCGGGTAGTACTGGACAGTACCGGACTGTTTCGTTCAGTACTGGACAGTACCGGACTGTTTCGTTCAGTACTGGACAGTACCGGACTGTTTCGGGTAGTACTGGACAGTACGGGGCTGTTTCGGGTAGCACTGGACGGTATCGGGCTGTTTCGGGTAGTACTGGACAGTACCGGGCTGTTTCAGGTAGTACTGAACAGTACCAGATTGTTTCAAGTAGTACTGGACAATACCGGGTTGTTTTGGCTAGTACTGGACAGTACCGGACTGTTTCGGGTAGTACTGGACAGTACCGGGCTGTTTCGGGTAGTACTGGACATTACCTGGCTGTTTCGGGTAGTACTGAACAGTATCGGGCTGTTTCGGGTAGTATTGAACAGTACCGGGCTGTTTCGGGTAGTACTGGACAGTACCGGGCTGTTTCGGGTAGTACTGGACATTACCTGTCTGTTTTTGGTAGTACTGAACAGTACCGGGCTGTTTCGGGTAGTACTGTACAGTACCGGGCTGTTTCGGGTAGTACTGAACAGTACCGGGGCGTTTCGGGTAGTACTGGACAGTACCGGGATGTTTCGGGTAGTACTGAACAGTACCGGGCTGTTTCGGGTAGTACTGGACAGTACCGGGCTGTTTCGGGTAGTACTGGACATTACCTGTCTGTTTCGGGTAGTACTGAACAGTACCGGGCTGTTTCGGGTAGTACTGTACAGTACCGGGCTGTTTCGGGTAGTACTGAACAGTACCGGGGCGTTTCGGGTAGTACTGGACAGTACCGGGATGTTTCGGGTAGTACTGAACAGTACCGGGGCGTTTCGGGTAGTACTGGACAGTACCGAGGTGTTTCGGGTAGTACTGGACATTACCTGGCTGTTTCGGGTAGTACTGAACAGTATCGGACTGTTTCGGGTAGTACTGGACATTAGCGGGCTGTTTCGGGTAGTACTGAACAGTACCGGGGCTGTTTCGGGTAGTACCGGACAGTACCGGGGTGTTTCGGGCAGTACTGGACATTACCTGGCTGTTTCGGGTAGTACTGAACAGTATCGGGCTGTTTCGGGTAGTACTGGACAGCACCGGGGTGTTTCGGGTAGTACTGAACAGTACCGGGGTGTTTCGGGTAGTACTGGACAGTACCGGGGTGTTTCGGGTAGTACTGGACAGTACCGGGGTGTTCCGGGTAGTACCCATTAGTCTGTAAAATGAGTAAATAAAAATGTTAATATCGATAACAGTGTAATAAATGTGAATATTGACATTATTTATCATTAAAGAGACAGAAATTTTCGGCCTTCCATTACTATAGTGAGGCTGTCCATCTACTAAGGTTACGTTTAAACATTGAAATGTGTGATAATTTAAGTCATTTATGACGTAGCTTTACAAGCAACTGTCATACTGCACGAATACCTGCAAAATTCTGTCATTCATGACGACAACAGATGACGCAAGAAGACAATTTAAACTAAAATTAATTATTCATTATCGACAATTCAATCCTCGAAGGAAAAGTATTTGGGCTACTAATAACTATCGTATTTCTAAATGAAGTAGATGTGTGAATGATGTCTGGTTGCTCGGGTACGACAAAAGGAAATTCTTGGTTAACTTAAGTGGGTCTTCTAGTTTATTTACACATGCGCTTGGCATTGTACCAACAGTAAATTCGATCATTCTATGGTTATACTGAGGCCATCATAGTTGACTACAATTGGCAAGGAAAATCCTAATCGACAGAAGTTACTGAAATCGAACTATGTCTGCATCACAAAGATGTTTTATAGAAGTATGTTTAAACACATCAGTGTCCTGCAGCAGATAGATAATGATTTCTCAGTAGATCTCCCAACCTGGCATTTGTTGAGTTTTAACCCTGGAATTGTGTAGAGAAATGTTCACTCAAATGTATTAAACATCATCATCTAAGATAAATGGATGTGTGTTGTAGGGGAGGTAACCCTTACAGAATACGCTGAGCACCTTTGCCTGGACATTGGTCCATTTATTAAAGCACTTCATTAAAGTGCTGCAGATGGTAAAATGGTTTACACTGGAACTACTGTATGTTCCCCCTCCCCTTGTGAGTAACTGTGCAATGATAGAAATCGAACAATTAATTCGGCCTGTAGTGGCATATAGGTTATATCTATTTAACGCAGATCCCTTCAAGAAGAATTGTACAGTTGTGTGTAAAGACGGCAATTAACATTTATCCTATAAACTGTATTACAGAGGGTAAAGCCCTGTTAAGCAAAGTCAATTCATTTTTTCAGGTCAAAATCTTGTTCCTTATTTGTAAATACCTCCATCATTGGTTCTCTGTCTTGTTACGACCACAGTTATTGGTTCTCTGACTTGCTACGTCCACAGTCATTGGTTCTCTGTCTTGTTACGACCACAGTTATTGGTTCTCTGTCTTGCTACGTAAAGAGTCATTGGTTCTCTGTCTTGTTACGACCACAGTCACTGGTTCTCCGTCTTGTTACGTCAACAGCCATTGGTACTCTGTCTTGTTACGTCCACAGTCATTGGTACTCTGTCTTGTTACGACCACATCCACTTGTATTTTGTCTTGTTACATCCACAGTATTGGTTCTCTGTCTTGTTACGTCCACTGCCATTGGTACTTAATATTTGGTCCTACCATCAGAAAGGCAAGGTAATGTTTAAATGTAGCAATATATTAACTGTCGTTTCGTGTTACTATAGGAAGGTACAAGATCTAAGCAGGGGCACGTGAGAAAGGACTTTTTGAATCAAGGCTATCCATTTCTGTTTGATGTGTTATAACCTGGTGTAATCGGTTTATATATTGTAACACTTCCTTGATGTAGTTACTTGTTTCTGAAATGTAAAGCCACATATAAACAGTGTTAAATACATAAACATTTGACAAGAACACAGAACTCGTCATTCAGTCGGAATGCTAAAAACCGTGTATTTTCTTGTCATATTAGTTTTGTTTTAAAACCAGCAACGGGGGAAATAGGTAGCGCATTTACCGGTCACCGGCCCACGAGTGTTATTATACCAGTATAGTTACGATTGGTTCCGCTGTATCGTGACGTCACAATGCCTTGTAGGTCGCTCCATGTGTCAGTTGGCACAGTTACTGGATAGATTGGATTTTCACCTGAATATAACTAGACACCAAATTAATATTGTCCAAAAAGTTGCTTATAAGATAGAACTTTTTATATATAATTATGATTTAAAGATATCAGTCTGGTAAATCTTCGATTAAATCTTCGTTTGTCACTTTCCATAATAAAGGAAACAATTCATTGTTTAAAAGCAACATACTGAAACTGCTGATGTTAGTTACAGACAGTACCAGTACTTACAATGTCGTCCCAGTCCCACCATCGTATCAACATGGAATCATTCAGTTACAGTAAAACAAATTTTATTGGACAATAAATGGCCTGTAGCTTACACTGAAAATAGTATAATTATACAAAGTTCTATATTAGCTACAAGCTGCCACTCTCACCAGGTATGACATGCCTACTGTATCATGTCTGTTTTACCTACTGTATCATGGCTGTTTTACCTACTGTATCATGTCTGTGTTACTTACTGTATCATGTCTGTTTTACCTACTGTATCATGTCTGTGTTACCTACTGTATCATGGCTGTTTTACCTGCTGTATCATGTCTGTGTTACCTACTGCATCATGTCTGTGTTACCTGCTGTATCACGGATGCTTACCTATTGTATCATGGCTGTTTTACCTACTGTATCATGTCTGTGTTACCTACTGCATCATGTCTGTGTTACCTGCTGTAGCATGTCTGTGTTACCTACTTTATCATGTCTGTTTTACCTACAGTATCATGTCTGTGTTACCTGCTGTATCATGTCTGTGTTACCTACAGTATAATGTCTGTGTTACCTGCTGTATCATGTCTGTGTTACCTATTGCATCATATCTGTGTTACCTGCTGTATCATGTCTGTGTTACCTACTGTATCACGGCTGTGTTACCTACTGTATCATGGCTGTTTTACCTGCTGTATCATGTCTGTGTTACCTACAGTATAATGTCTGTGTTACCAGCTGTATCATGTCTGTGTTACCTATTGCATCATATCTGTGTTACCTGCTGTATCATGTCTGTGTTACCTACTGTATCACGGCTGTGTTACCTACTGTATCATGGCTGTTTTACCTACTGTATCATGTCTGTGTTACCTACTGTATCATGGCTGTTTTACCTACTGTATCATGTCTGTGTTACCTAATGTATCATAACTGTTTTACCTACTTTATCATGTCTGTGTTACCTGCTGTATCATGTCTGTGTTACCTACTGCATCATGTCTGTGTTACCTGCTGTATCATGTCTGTGTTACCTGCTGTATCATGTCTGTGTTACCTACTGTATCATGGCTGTTTTACCTACTGTATCATGTCTGTTTTACCTACTGCGTCATGTCTGTGTTACCTACTGTATCATGGCTGTTTTATCTACGGTATAGACTGTTTTACCTACTGTATCATGTCTGTGTTACCTACTGTATCATGTCTGTTGTACATACTGTACCATGTCTGTGTTACCTACTTTATCATGTCTGTGTTACCTGCTGTATCACGGATGCTTACCTATTGTATCATGGCTGTTTTACCTACTGTATCATGTCTGTGTTACCTACTGCATCATGGTTGTTTTACCTACTGTATCATGTCTGTGTTACCTACTGTATTATGACTGTTTACCCTACTGTATCATGTCTGTGTTACCTATGTATCATGTCTGTATCATGGCTGTGTCTGTATCATGTCTGTGTTACCTACTTATCACCTGTCTGTGTTACCTACTGCTGGTCTGTGTTACCTACTGTATCATGTCTGTTGTACATACTGTACCATGTCTGTGTTACCTACTTTATCATGTCTGTGTTACCTACTGTATTATGGCTGTTTACCCTACTGTATCATGTCTGTGTTACCTATTGTATCATGGCTGTTTTACCTACTGTATCATGTCTGTGTTACCTACTGTATTATGGCTGTTTACCCTACTGTATCATGTCTGTGTTACCTACTGTATCATGGCTGTTTTACCTACTGTATCATGTCTGTGTTACCTACTGCATCATGGTTGTTTTACCTACTGTATCATGTCTGTGTTACCTACTGTATCATGTCTGTGTTACCTACTGTATCATGTCTGTGTTACCTACTGCATCATGTCTGTGTTACCTGCTGTATCATTGCTGTTTACCTACCATATCATGTCTGTTTTACCTACTGTATCATGTCTGTGTTACCTGCTGTATCATGACTGTTTTACCTACTGTATCATGACTGTTTTACCTACTGTATCATGTCTGTGTTACCTACTGTATCATGGCTGTTTTACCTGCTGTATCACGGATGTTTACCTACTGTATCATGACTGTGTTACCTACTGTATCATGTCTGTGTTACCTACTGTATCATGTCTGTGTTACCTACAGTATCATGTCTGTGTTACCTGCTGTATCATGTCTGTGTTACCTACTGTATCATGGCTGTTTTACCTACTGTATCATGTCTGTTTTACCTACTATATCATGTCTGTTTTACCCATTGTATCATGACTGTTTTACTACGGTATAGACTGTTTACCTATCATATTTGTTTTACCTACTATATCATGTCTGTTTTACCCATTGTATCATGACTGTTTTACTAACTGTATCATGTCTGTGTTACCTACCGTATCATGACTGTTTTACCTACCGTATCATGGCTGTGTTACCTACTGTATCATGTCTGTGTTACCTACAGTATCATGTCTGTGTTACCTGCTGTATCATGTCTATGTTACCTACTGCATCATGTCTGTGTTACCTACTGCATCATGTCTGTGTTACCTACTGTATCATGGCTGTTTTATCTACGGTATAGACTGTGTTACCTACTGTATCATGGCTGTTTTACATATTGTATCATGGCTGTGTTACCTACTGTATCGTGTCTGTGTTACCTACTGTATCATGTCTGTTTTATCTACGGTATAGACTG